CATGTCGCGATAGATGCTTCGCGCCGCGAGTCCTCCCTGTGCGGCGCCGCGACTGAGCTCCGCGCCGCGAGGCTGCCCTTCTGTCGTGCCGCGAAGGTGCTTCACGCCGCGCCCATGCCACGACAACAACTAAGGCCCCCAGCATCCCAGCTCCGCGCCGTGAGAGCCTTCCTCACCGTGTTGCATCTCCCTGCCGCGCCGGGTCGCGGTGCCCACGCCCTCACGCCCCGCTGTGATTTCTTCACGCCGCGGGATCTATTCCTATATATATGTGCATCAGGACTCTTCAGAAAAATACTGCCCCTCCTGGGTGAAAACCCTAGGGTCGGGAAAAACCACATAACACTCCTTTCCTCTTCTTTTCCTTCCTCTTCTTCATTTTTCCTCCTCTCTTCATCTTTGTTTCCTATTTTTCTTCTTCTTCTTCTTTACCTCTAGGAATTAAGCTTGAATTTGGATTCAACTCTCGGATTGGATTGATTGTAAGTATTTTTCATCTTGTTTAATTCATGTGAATGATTATTTGGGATGGAATGCTTTATTGTGTTGAATTGTTACTTAGCTAAATCTTATTGCTAGGGATAGGGGATGATTGTTCATGTTTCACGTGTATTTGTCGGGCATGAATTGTTCATGCTTATGTGAGTTAATCTGATTAGGAATTGATGTAATCTTGCTTGATTGATATAATCGAAGAGTGACACTTCGATCTTGCGATTGGAAACGATTGAATGTTGATTTGTCGAGTTAGGGTTTGTCAATTCTATATGATTAGTTGATTAATCACCTTCTAGTTAATTAGCGACTTTTAGAACCGAAAAGGGAGAAGTCGTAGACCTAGGCTCGCATGAGGTAGATGATTTCGTAATTGAATAGTCTATAAGTTTTGGATTGAAATACGTGCTTGTCGATGACCCGTCCTTTGTTACGAAAAGTTAATGGGATTGGGATAATTGGCATGTGTCGTATGCTCGAGTTTGTTCGTCTATGTTCAATCCCTTGTTACGAAGAGTTATTGGGAGCGAACCGCTAGATGTCTAGGCGAGAGTGTCAATCTCGAACCGAGCGATTAATTGCCCGGTTTTGCTAGAACTTGAATTAATTATCCCCGATTCCCTAGCTTCTCCATCTTTGTTTTGTCTTTTTATTCTTAGCTAGATTATTGTTTTTTTTCTTTCTTAGTTAATAATTATTCAAAACTCCTATTTGATTAGAGTGTTTAGGATTTTATTTTCTTTTTGTGTGAAATCAATACCGAAGCTAAATTCCGAACCGCCTTCCTTGTGAGATCGACCCGGGAAACGAATTCTTCGATTCAGTACTCAGTAAAAATAATAATTTGTGCTACCACAAATTTGGCGCCGTTGCCGGGGAAGGCAAGTAGGATATTTGATTTTTGTATTGATCTTATTTTCCGTGTTTCTCTTTGTTTTGTGTTTTTCGTATTTTTGTGCTTTCTTTTGTGCATCCTTGTTTTTCTTTTGCTTTTTTTGTTTTTGTCTTCTTTTTCCTTCTTTTTCGTGGCTACGTGTGGTTGTTCTGCTTTGGTGTGCAGGTGTTATGAACTTTAACCGTGTTTTCCCCTTACCGCACACCCAACTTGGGTGAACGAGCCGAGCTATCACACCGGGTACCACGTCCAACTTTATCCATACTCTTCCGAGCAACGTTGGGACCCCTTCCCGGTCGAGCAATATTACGAGTCCCACGAGTTTAACGAGAAGCTCGACCGTATCTATGCTTTTGCATCATCCCGGTTAGCTCAAGAAGAAGAGACCGCAACCCGGTGTGCCCTTCTGAACCAGTCACCTCCATACCACGATTCTTGGGACTATGGCCAGACTTGGACATATCCCTACGAGCAACAGTGGGATTCCTGGCCTATCGAGCAGTCATATGAGTCCCTCGAGGACTCCTCAGAATACAATGCAAAGCTCGACCAGGTCCTCGCTCTTTTATCCTCTCAAGTGGCCCGAAGGAGCAATATTGAGTCCAGAATCGAGAACCTAATGGAGGGCGTGCAAGTCTTGGAGGATCGAGTTATTAACGCCTGTCCCGATCCCACCGCTCAAGGAGAATCTACACATAAGAATGAACCTAGGGAGGCTGCTTTGACATACGATGAAAAGCTCGACCTCATCCTTGCACGCATATCTGTCCAAACCACTCGAGATGTGGAGATTGAGCTCGGATGTGCTCGACTGAGCGCACAAACAGAGATTCTTACAGCACATATCGACTCAATCGAGGCCAAAGTCGATGACCCCCACTTTATGCTTGATACTCAAGCCCGTATGATGAAGCAAATGTGTGAGGTCGAAGAAGAAGACGATGAGCTCGAGCGAGACGTTGATGATATCTCGGAGGAGGATATCCATGGGCTTGATTCTCAAGTCACTCCTCCCATCTCCGAGTTGGAGCATCCGTATTCAAGGCCGTTGCACTGTGTTACGAAGTGGGGAGAATTCAGTTCGATTTGCTCTACAGATGTGCTTATAGTACCGGAGGTTGACGATAGAGCTCGGGTGGGAAAAGCTCTATTGGGGATTGCTCGTGCTCGAACCCTGTTCACCAAGAACATAGCCACCCGGATCCACCGTGCCAGCCTTCTCGCCAATCTTCTCATGCTACCAATTCTCGAAGCCACGAAGGCATGGCACGACCATTACTTCTTTCTGGATCCTGGTTGATACGTACGCAGGTTTCGTCAAGCTAATGACGTTAAACAAGCGCTTCTTGGGAGGCAACCCAAGTGATTTATCGCTTTCTTAGTTATTTTCATTTTGCCTTTTAGTTTTATCTTTGAATAATGGGAGTTTTGGACTTTTGTGTTTTTCTTGGCAGGTACGTGTTTGTGAGCTCGAGCAGGAGGATTGAGTTGATTGAGGAATATCGAGATTTTGGGTTGAGAGAGGGCGAATGGCTTGCACGTGAATGCTTACTCTCCTCGATACACTTCGGTTTGCACACCCTGTTCTTTTTTTTTTTTTTTTTTTTGAGTTGTTTCTTTCCCCTATCTTTTCTTTTGAGTTTTGTGTTCTGGTGCTAGCTGCTAGTATTGGTTCGTTATATGAAATTGCTAGGTCCTTTATTTGACTTCCTGGTTTATGTTGAAGCAATGAGAACATTGCCTCATTTTAAGTGTGGGGGAGTTTATTCGGATTTTGCATGCTTATGTGGTGGACTAGTCTAGTTTTTAGGTTTTTTGTGTTGTTGAGCATGTGGTATTGGTGAATTATAGGATTGGTTGAGGAATGTCTGATGAAATTGGGAAGTTGTGATGACGGTTGTGTTGATCATTGCCTCGATATTGGCTTGATTGCTTTGAGTGACATTTATTTACCTTCTGTGGTTTTGATCCTTACTCTTCTTTCTTGTGAGATATTAGTCATTCTTGAATGATTAGAACTTTCCTTGAGTTTGTTTGAAAGGAATATATTAGAGTTTGAAATTGCGAAAGTGATTGAGGCGTTTTGTTTGATTAGCTCTCTTTAGCCTTGTTCATGATCCTGAATGTGCAATTTTTTTCGCTAGTAGCCCGTTTGAGCCTTGAGCCTTTTCTTGTCAGCCATGCATATAATGTATTTTAATGACTGATTTTGTAATGATTGGTGAAAATGGCGTCGTTGTTGAATCAGGTGAATTGGAGTTGGATTTCTATTGCTTGACCTATATGTTAAAAAAAAAAAACACGAGAGCTTATAAGACGAATCGAATGGATTCTGCTCCTCTTACTAGTCGATTCATGTTGACGGGTAATGAGCATTTGGAAAATACTGTAG